CTCGGCTTTCGACTGGATCTGAATGGCCGGGCACATCCAGATATGCCGGCAAAGATGAGCTACAAATTTCTCAAATGTCAACACCAAACTGAGATGCTGCTGTTTTTGCATCTGGCCCCAAATGAAATGAACATTTTTCATGGCCTTGTTGCATTTGTTAATGCAGACTTGTCATTTATTAATAGTCAAGTTTTCCCTGATGCCGAGATGCTGCTGAAGATATTGATGAGGACTTCAGTAGATCAATCAGCAGGCAGTTCATTTGTTGGCAACAGTTGGCCCACATATATACACTGCATACTTTCCTTCCGATTATCTGAAGGATCTTTTCTTGGGCACTTCATTAGCCGGTTGACAGCTGCTAATGAACCTTTCAAAGCACAACCTCCTTTTGCGGCAAGTTCATTGAACGATTCGGCCAGCGTGCACGAAATTGCAAAACTAATTTACAACGGAATTACTTTCGTTTAAGTGGGCAGGGATTTCAAAGCTGAGGGTGAGATGGTACCCATTGGGATATTATTTTTTTTTTACCATTTTGGGCGGCAAAGGAGGCATATTTGTTAAATTATCGTTTGATAAATTTTGCACAATTGTATCAATAAAAATTGTATTCATTATGTGATTACACTTTTCTGTTATTTGGTATTTACTGTGATTGACAATATTAAGCTGTTGATAAACCTTGACATTTTTCATTATACAAGCACTCTTGCTTCAATAAATATATTTTAAAGTTAGAAACACTCATATATAGCTATATTTTCTAAAAATTCAAATACCTGGAATATATAAATTTTGCGGGGTATTGCAATTTCTCGGCCTGCAACTAGAGAGCGTATCCCTTTGCAGGACCAACTTAAATTGCAGCGATAAGCTTTAAACTGCGAGCACTTCCGGCAAGTTGGGCCCGACTCCTTGGCCATATAAGCACATATATGTATACATCGCAGACAAAGTATATGGCACATGTATTTTGCGTCCAGCTCGGAAAGTGTTGGCAAGGATATGCTTAAACATGCAAATTTTCAATATGCAGACAAAACAGACACAAGCACAACATGCATGCCTGCCCAGAATCGCCGATGTGGATGTGGACTTGTGGATGGGGTTGTGGATATGGATATGGGGGAAATGGGTGGATATTTTCACTGGCGGAACGTGAAATGCAATTGGGGCCATCGCCATCGACATCACCATCACCACCCCTCCCCTTTCATCAGTCCCCTTCCCGATGAAATTGCCCGATTGTGTTGAAGTGTGATGTAGGCTTCGCTTGTTGGCCGGGCCAAGAGGCCTTTGGCACATTTCTGTGTCGTGAAATTAATTTCTCCACTCCGCTCTTGTTAAAAACTGCTCTTTATTTTGTATATGATGTGTGTATGTGCCTTCAAATTACCATAATTAAACGGACCCAGCCAGGGGCTTCATAATGCCGGCTAGTTTGCACAGCACTTGGTGGCTTTCTAAAGCTCATTTCGGGATTTTAGGAAATACTTTGCAGGCTCTAACAATTAAAATAAAATTATTGTTGTGAAGGCCATGCATTTTAAAAGTCAATATAACAAATTTTTGCCACCTTACCATTTTAAAAAAACCTCTTTATAAGGGTAATTTTCATTTTCTGCAGGCAAACCCTGTTATTTTCCGAATTTTTTGACATCTTTGTTTCATAACTACCATTTCTTCCATCCCTCCTTAAGATACTTGTCCATAACTATCATTTATCATCTCAAAACACACACTCGCTTACCACTCAGAAATGAAAAGCCACAAAAAGTTGCCAAATCATGGGAATGAACGATTCGTCTGCTGGCTAAATGTATTTGTATCTTCATTTGACATGCTGACGGTAATAGCGTGGTTTTGTTTTTTTGTTTGTTATTTTTTCCATGTTGGTTCTTTGATAAATTGAATAAATTTTATGGTATAATTAACTCATGTTCATGGCTAATGTGAACGGGCTCCGCCCCCGTAATTAAATATATATAGTTATTGCATCGAAACTGTTAAGTGGATCACGATATTTTATATCATGAACTTGTGGCAATTAAGGAGTTTAATGTACTTTAAACTATTCCGAGGATACCTAGTCGTAGCTAAAGTATGAAGGGAAAATAAATCCGCACCAGGAGATACAATTTATATGGGGAAATAACCACCCTCAGCTGAAACCGAAATACACAAAAAATAATTTAGATAAAGGTTAACATAATTTTGATAAGGTGGCCACAGAAATTTATATGCTCGCACCTAACTGCAAATTGTGTGTAATGAGCTGAGCGGCGACCACCTTTAAATTTACCTTCACCTTTTTCTGTATTTTCTGTATTTTCTCCCTCGCAGTTAGTAGCACCTTTCATGTTGTCTAAGGCCGAAGAAGACATAAATTTGTTAGCGCCTGCCTGGTCAAGATCCCAAAACTCATCCTTTTGGGGGTGTTTTTCTTCTTTTTCCCGTATTTTTGGCTCCTGTTCCTGTCCCGTGCCCAAAAAAACACAGAAAAATTAGTCGGGAGATATTATGTTAAGGTTGTGCCGCCTGCGAGATCGGTCGCTCGAGATAAGTTGCTTCATATTTATGTTGGAAATTAGGCAAATTTTTAGTGGCGAGATAATTTGTGTACGACTTTGTCGCAGTGAGTGAGAAAATTTAAGGCATCTAAGTTACAACCCAAAATGGTTAGGTTTTTCTGTGGTTAAAATGGAAATAAAAATTCTGTAACGCTTTGTAAAACAAGATAACGCAATTTTAATGGATAAATGCGATAAATTTTGATGGGTAACTAAATGATGTCAATTTTTAAGTAGTTCTTTGGAACTGGTAACAGTTGAAATAGTATTTGAAAGATGATTTTCCAATATCTTAATTTATAATTTTCGTCTTTATGAAAGAAATATAACTTCAAGAAAAGCTACCAATAAAAACTAGCTTAACTTATAATTACTGTTAGGGAAAACTTGATATATTTTTCATAACAGTATGACACTTTCTCACAGTTTTTCCGAAACTCAACCACCGAACTCAACTTCGTAATTAAGACATTTGGAAAGCAGTTAAGTTCAGTTCGTTGGTCAAAAACGATTTTATAATTGTTAGCTTCCAAGTGTATAATTATTAGTTAGTTATCGGTTAGGTAAAAAGCCTCTGCTCTGAGTTTATATAAGCCATATTTAAATGTTGGCCCAGCCCCCTCCTCATTCAAGCTCTGTTTCGTTTTCTGACCCTCTTTTTTGAGGCCCATTTATATTTTTGCTGCATGGCCGATGGGCTAGAAAATTAAGTTATTAAATTTTGAACCTATGTTTTTTATATGATTGAGTGTGTGTGGTAGGTGATTAGCGCCGATTGACAGAATAATTTATAAATATATTGTCAAGTGTGGGAATAATTGGGGGTTTGAGTTAAAAGGAATACTGGAAAGAACGATAAAATGAGGGTAATTGTGTCAAAACAAATATTGATTTTTTATGCAAAGAAATTTAGTTGATTTTGTTTACCTGAAAAATTGTAAAAAAAATACTTAGCTTAGATCTCTTCTAAAAGTGACATTTTTTATTAAATGTTCTAAGTTACAATCATTCCTATTTAGTTAAGCTTTCGTGAAAATATCTATTTTATTTGATGGCCACTTTCCATTAGCAGTTACATTATCTGTATGGCCTTTTTAAATGAATAGCTTATCTAGGAAAATTCACAAATTAAAACCCACTCAAATTCGCGTTGGCAACAACTCCGACAATGTTCACTACCCATTTAGCTGTAGATAGGTCGCGATGTGGAACCCTTTCTAACAAACAACACTTTAAAATGTTAATGGCCGTGTAAGAGCAGCCCAACTGAAATTAATAACAAACGTCCATGCGGCAGACATACATCATTAGAAATTGATGACGCATGTCGCGTGCAACTGCATCCATTGTTGATGGCATGCAACCCTTTATAGGCAGCAACATGAACTAAAACACGGAGTAGTAATTAATTAGACTTTCATAAAGAGCACAAAATTCTATAAATTATATTTCATTGCCGTTCCCAAATGTCAGTGGCCATGCGCGACTGCGCATCACGTGTTGCAGGTTGCTCCCCACCAGCAACTAGCAACTGGCAACTAGCAACTAGCAACTAGCAACTGGCAAACTAGCAACCTGCAACCCCACCCATCAGCAGCATTAACGTTATTAATCGCTGTCCATATTTTCAAAAACATTTATTGTTCGCCCATTTCAATTGCATGTTGGTTGTTTTCTAGGCATTAAACGAAATGTACAAATTAATTTATATAAATAAACGCCGTTCGCTTTGTGTTATAAATTGTTTATTCAGTTTCGCTCCTTCTCTCTTTGCACATAATTTAAATAAGTGTTTATAGTAATGGTTTTTGCATTTGCTTTTTGGGGAGGGGGAGTGTCTAGAGGGTTTAATTCAGCGTGGAATTCTCACAATAATTTGCAGTTTTAGGAACACATGGGGACGACAACAAAAAACACACAAAAGTGGATGCACATTGCTAGGCCTAATTAAATTAACTAATACTGTTATAATGCTACGAAAATTACAATACAGTGAAACCGGTTAAGACGGTTTTCTAGCTTAGCATCACATGCAACATCGAATGCATCTTTGGATGTTGCAGCAACATTTTTGGGGTTATTTACAGAGGGTATCCTTTTTTTTTTGTTCAACAACATTGCACATACATTTCATTGATAATCTGCTGTGGCTTTTAAATCCTATTTTTTAGGTATTTTTTTAAAATAATAGATGAACATTAAACAAATTTTATACAATTTCGTATTAGCAAGAATCTAATGGTCTTAACCTTTTATAATTTAGTTTGCATCTAAGAATTATAATTTAATATTGCAGATTGTAAATTAAATAAAATGTAAGCCATCCAAAGGAATATTTCAAAAAGTACAGTAAATATTTTGAAAAATATATATTTCTAAGTATACAGCTTAAATTTAGAGTTTTTGATTTTATAATTTTTAAATTGAAAATGGATTTATAATTTAGATTTGATTTTGATTGATTTATTGCACACGAAAATTTGTTGAATAAGAAAAAGGCATGTTCTATTTAGCACGGAAATATATATTGGATTTTTTAAGCTAAGTATAGCTTGTATTGTTTTTTTCTGAGATTTAAAAACCACATCAGACTATTATTTTTGGGTGGGGCAAAGAGGGAATGGGTGGTGTGTTGGGTGGATTAGTTGGTTTTGCTTGTTAGTCGTTAGTCCTAGGGACTTTCAGCCCGATTCGAGGCTGGTGGCGATGCCTGGTGCTGGGGCACCTGGTACGGACTGAATCGCTGTGGATAGTGACTCAGCTGGGGTCTGGCCCTCAAATCCGGAGACGCAGATCCGCACGAGGAGGTGGGCGTGGCGGGGGCTGGGGGCGCCACCGAAATCGGAGGGGGTGGCGTCCGATTGGCGCCCGCCGCTGCCAAGGCCAAGGCCGCTTGCTGATTGGCACTGGCCAAGAATCCGGCCGTGAGTTGTGGCCACTGCTGTTGCCACATTCCCAGCTGAAAGGCGCTGAGGTGCGGGGGCGGTGGAGGAGCCGCCGATCGCTGGTACAAATGCGGCAGCAACATCTCCGTATACGGCGATCGGCCAAACATCTGCAAGTGCTGGCGGGCTTTTTCCAGGAGCGCCAAGGACGCGGCATCCGCCTCCTGAGGCGTCAACTGCGACATCAAAGGATCCGGAAAAAATCGCAGAGGAGCCGTTCGCATGTGCTGGTCAAAGAAAAACGCATCCATGGGATCTCTGGAAAATTAAATAAAGTAAATACTGATTATCTAGTTGTTTAAATTGTAATTTTTCATTTTGGGATTCAAGATTTTAAAAAAATGTTTTTTTTTATAGTACTATTATAAATGACTAAGTGACTAAAATCAAAAAGAGATTTCTGTATACATATGTGTATTACAAAATTCAATAAATTTTTATTTGACTGTTGGTAAAATTGGTAAACTAAAACCAGTCAATGGTTTTTAAAAAGTATTACCCATTTCAAATTGCATTGTTTGTTTGCTGTTTTGTTTTGATTTCTTGGTTCTAATCAACCAAAAAAAAGGATGCAATTCGGTCTCTAAAAGCCATTGGCACTCCATTAAGTTCGAGTTGCAGACAATTCGGTGTTAGGGAAGCTCGAGCTGGAGAACTTGGACTGTCAGAACCCGATGAGCAACTTGTTGCCGCCGCCACTTCAGCTGGAGCAATAACATAATTACGTCGAAAGTAACTGCCAATTGCCGACACTAAACAACAGGAACAACAACACCAGCAACAACAGCAACAAGAGCCACATTCACTCATTATTTTCGTGTTTTCATTTCATGTACGAATCGGCATCAAAGTTAAAAGCGCCGATCTGTAATTTACGCCACTTAAGCCGCCGCCGTGCCGGCTACAACAGCAACATTGCTCTTGTGTGTTGCTGCTGTTGCTGTTGTTGCTGTTGCTGTTGCTGCTGCGGCCGTGTTGCTGCTGGCGGCAGAGCATTGCCGTCTTAATAGTCGCCGCCTTGCAACACTTTGAAGTCGCTGTCGAAAAAAGGGCAGCAGCCCTCAGAAAAGCTGGAAAAAAAGTTGCCTGTGGCCTGATCCTGTCGGGAGTAGGGCAACATGTTGCTGGATGGCAACGAAATGTTGCGTGCAGAAATGTTGCAGGAAAGTGCTGAATGAGCAACATCATTCAATTATTCATTTGATCAGTTATAATAAATTTGTTTTAATATCTTACATTTTGCAAAGAAAAATAATGATTAATAAATATCCAGCTAAAAATGTTGAACAAATAATTTGCAATTTACTTAATCCCCAAAGCATATATAACTCTCAACCTTTCTTAAAGACCGAGTACTTAAATCACACACTGACATCAGCCATATAATCATATAAGTTCGATCCGATTGATCGCCGGTGTTGCACGTTGCATGCTAATTGAAGATGATTCCTGAGGAACCGGCAGGAATCGCCACGCCAACTGGCACTTTCACACATTTTCGCTAATCAGCGGCAAGTTGGGCTACTGTATCGGCTTTACGGCTCAACAGGCCATCGTAAATTAGGCCATAAATCAGACATGACCCCATAAAATGCGAAACGGGGGCAACTACAGCTATCTGTATAGCTCCTCGGTGGGGAACTTACCTATCAAAGTCGCTGAGACGCGACGAATCGCGAAATCCCTTCGCAAACGGATTCGAATCGATTTTCAGTTTCGTAATCAATTGATTCTGATAGGCCGTCACGGCCGTGAACACGGTCTCCGGGAAAACGAAGGTTTTATGGTCCATATCCTGCAGCTCCTTGGGATTGCCGGGGATGCTCTGCCCATGGCTGAGTCGCACCAAGTGGATCCTGGGCTGGTAGCGGTGCATTGAGTTCAGCACGACCTGCAAAGGAGATTCGGAAAATTCCCTGAATGCGAATTGTTTGTTGTGTGCCGGCCTTATAAAAAATGTACGTCCATAAAAAAGTAGTCGACGTTTGTTTTGACTGTCCTCGCAGCGTCTTCGTTCCACCAACTCTTCCACCTCCTCACTCCGCAGCCTTTATGGCCGTGATAAAAACGGTAGCAGGCTCGAGAATCCCAGAAATATATATGTGAACAGGGTCTTGAGCCTGCTCCGCTCGTATTTGCCACCAAATTGCCAACAATTTTCATTCATTTTTGTGCGCCCGCAATGCCATTTGCATATGTGCATTCGTTGGCAACCCTGGCTGACCCCTTTTGACCCCTTTTGACCCCGCCGACTTGGAAGACAATGGCAAGGCGGCCGCCGGTTTATGTGTTTGTCTGTCGGCCTAAATTATTCAAAGCTGTATCCTGAGATGACAGAAGGTTGGGGTACAAATAGTTTAAAGGATGTTGGCTTAGCTGAAAGGTGGTACTAAAAATAAACTTCTTTTGATTTGTAAAACATATATTTGCCATAAATATTTTTTATTTATTTCTCCATCAATCTCCATCCCTCTTATTTTATCCGCAAATTCTCGTATATTTCTTTATTGATTTTTTCAAACTGGCTATCATTCTACTCCCCCATTTTTTCTCGGCTTCCCTGTTATCCTGCCGTCCAATTGAGACGCTTGGACTCACCTGTCCGCTCTTGTCCATCTCGTTGTTTGTCAACTTCACCTTTTCGAAGGAGACGACCTGTTTTCTCAGTGCCTCCGGACTGAGAGGACAATCCGGATGGGCGTAGATGCGGGCGGGGGGCGGTGGGTCCGCTTTTCCGGCCACCAGCCACGAACTGCGATGATAGGCGTAACGATAGCGCCGCGAATCCAGCGGTACGACGTCCAAAAGCACGGCATATCGGTCCGCCGGTTGAATTTGCCTCAAGGGACCTGAGAAGCTCACTCTCACGGTGGGGAACATGCGCCTAAAATAAAATATATAGAATTTATAACTCAGCTTAAAAGGTTTTTGAAGTTTTGGATTTATAAAAAAGTCGAAAATCAGTCAATTAACTAAATTTTCTAATCAAAGCGACTATATCAACTCGCCTGGTGATGCTGATTAAGAATATATATGTATACTTTCTAGGGTGGGAAATGTGTCCTTTTATGCGTTACAAGCTTCTGACCAAAATAACAAAGAATGTTATTTATAATAACATATAAACTTCTATTCTAGTGCATAAGGCTGGTCGGAAAATGTTAGTGAACTCAGAGAAACACACACAAAAACAAGTAAATCGTGAACTATTTTTTATTGCCCGCCATTGTGTTGCGGCAGCAAAACACAAAAAAAGGAAGGTGGTGAACTAGCAAGGTATGTAAATAAGACGCATATTTAACTTTATGACTTTTAGCACGTTTTTGACACATTTCCGCAAGCGATGTCGTCGTCCTGAACGCAGGACCTTTACCCAGCGGGTGGGCGACAAGGGGTGTGTACCCCCACCCATTTCCCACCCACTCACCACCCACAATCCCCCGCAAAATCGTGTTTGTGGTCTCAGGTAAGTGTAAATGACGCTAATGACCCAACCCAGTTTTTTGTCATTTGTCTTGCAAATGCCTGAACCCGATATTCTGGGTGGGTTAATTATAATTGATTTGCTTTCAGTTGCTTTGGTAAGCTAATTGTGCAACATTTATTAAACAAAATTGTATTATTAGGGGTTATTTCTATGAGAACTTGTATCCAACTTGTACTTATCTATATAACTTTTAATCTGCTAAATATTGTAAGTTGAGTACTTTATATCTTAATCTTTCAACCATTTTCGCTTACTTTGGGAAAAGTCAAACATCAATCCATATTTAATGTGTTTAGAATTCAAATTATAAATATTTTTAAAATAAAAAATATGTTTAGAATAAGTACTCTTACAAAATCAACTCACACCAAGTAAATGACTTTACAGGTACTTAGTTAATTATTAAAGTGTTAATATGAGCATTTCAGGAAAGAAAGGACTTTCACTGTCCAACACGCAAATACAATTTGTACCTGTTTAAGTAGGTCTAATTGAAGATTTTCTTTCCAGTCCCATTTTCGCATTCCTCCTTCAATCCACCCCGCTTACAACTCTCGTTTGTTTGTTTATTTGTCAGAGCTGTGTTTACAGCCCATTATTGTAAGGGGCGGGTCCGGTGTCACCATGATTGTTTTAGCCACTGACTAACTGTTGTGGCCGCGTATTTAGCGCAGTTACCAGGCCAAAACGAATCCAAATCCACAGCCCGTAATTGTGATTTGTGCTGTAAGCACTTTTTCTGCTGCACTCACTCGCAGTTGCATGCCACAATTAGCACCATTGTAGCGGGCACTTAACGTGTTCCGCTTATCTCGATATCTGCACGGACTGAGGACTGCAGACTGCGGAGTATGGAGAATTGAGTTGCACTTGCGGACCCACTGACTAACTTCACTCGAGCCTGACCGCCAAAACTCAAGAACGGAAGCCGCCAAACCGGAAGCTTCCATTTTGTTTCTACCCCCGAAACGAAAGTCGAAGAATTTGTAAAAGAAGCTCAAGCTAAAAATTATGTAGAGGAAAAATTTCCCAAAGAAATTAATTATTGATTTAACAAAAAAATTGGAATAGAGGTCATATTTATTGGTTTATAAGAAAAAAGGTATTCAAGAAACAGAAATCTTGAAGCAACATAAATTATTGCCACTGAAACATAAATTATTATACTGTTTATAGTATAATTTTCTTGACCAAACAAAAAATGTTATTTAAATAACTTGGCAATAGGATTCATTACAATTTTTTGTAATACCAATTGTAAAGTTCTTTTCAAGGAACTAAAGTAATGCTTTACAAAAAATATTCTTTTCCGGCCTAAGAATTTTGGTTTTTGTTTTATACTTTATTTTTCTCAGTATCGTAGGAATTGTTAACACTTTCCTGTTGGCTTGACCGACCTGCTAATGTGAACCATAAATGTGTGAAAGTCGAGCAACTGCCACGCCCAGTTTTGATGGGCCATATCTAATGCGGCCCCCGCCTTACTATATTGCTTTTGTTATTTTTTGTGGTGTTTTTGCGTCTAGGCGGAAATGTCGTAAATCATATTCCAGCATTTACATACATTTTACGAGTTGAAGAGTCGCCTGAAGGCAGCCAAAGCAAAAGCCACTCCCCTGCCAACTTCTATTTTTTTTGTTTTCGCGGGGGTTTCCCCAGTTTAGTTCGCCCGCTGGCCGAGCTTCTAAGTGTGGATTTTATGTATTTGTTTATGGGAAAATTAGGGAAATGGCTTTTACTCAGTTTTTCGGACCGCGGCGAGAGAGCTTAGGTGCCAAAGGTTACAATTATGAAGTTTACACACCATTTGCCATGGGGTGGCTTGGCTTTCAATTAGTTTATACGGAACATGTAGGAACACCAATTCATTATCAACACCTTTGTTACAGCAAATTAAGCCTCCAGGTCTAAATTAATAAAATGCAAATTAGCCAGCGAGTAGAAGAACAAAGCGAAACTAAAAAGCAACCCCAAAAAAAAAACGCAGACAAGAAAACTATAACTTTGATCTTATCGCCAGCTGACAACACTCCCCCCAGTTGACTATCTTTTATTAGTTGATTAATTCATAATTCGGACCCTGCACCTTTCCTCAAAAGGGGATTAACTTGTTTCGATGCCTTCTGACCAATTCAGCTGCCCAGAAATATTAATGAAGTTGTGGAAAATGTTTTTAAAAATGCCAGAGCTGAATTTCTTGGCCTGCAAGGGGTTGCACCATGGAAATTGCAATTGCCACGCATCCTCTGAGGCCAGGCTACTGTCCTCGAATGTCCTGCGGCGGAAAAGAAGTCGGCTAATATGCGTGAAGAGTTTGTCGCAAAATATTGACAAACTCCGGGTATTTTCGAGGGGTCAACAAACAATTAGCCCGCCTGCCCGTCTGCTGATTTTTTCCTCCTTTGTCCTCCCAAAAATGCCAACCTCAAAACCGCTGACAGCGTGACAAAATCGCAAACCACGTGATATTTTATTTCAACAACCGCACGCACAAAGGAAACCATCCCAACCTGACCACGTAACAGGTAAAAAATTCTAACGCTCTGACTTTGACTCCTTTTTGTTTTGCCCCTGGCCGTAAATCATCTGAGAAGTCTCCCACTTTTTTTCAGTTTCAAATGTGTTGGCAATTTGCTGCAGTTCTCGTCTGTTTTTCACGGCTTATTTCTGATGAGAGCCACGCATGCGCATTTGCATGTGGAGGCAACATTTTCACAGCTGCCGAGGAGAATTGCCTTTCGAATGGGTAGTTAAAGGCGAAAATGGTCTTCAGTGAGGGAAAGAACCGTTTTTGATTAACCAGATGGAATGGCAAACTTGTAAATTACAGATAAGCAAGGAACATAGCTTAATAAAGTAATAAGGGGTAATACTAGGTTCCCTTTTTTCAATTTTTAAGAATACAAAAAGGTCACTGGAATTTCGCTTAGATTTTTCAGATGAATATTAAGTTTTTGGATAAAAAATGTACTTTTATACCAAATAGCTTGACAATTTTCTAAAATTAGAACCGAATCTATTAATAGATATTATCATGGAATGGAATATTTACTTATTATGTGCAGTTATAATATAACATAAGCTAATTTTGTACTGTAAAATTAAGCTATTGAAATATATATAACTTTTTAAGGTAGCTTGCTTTACCATATTTGATCTGGATTATTTGGGCTCTTATTTGATTAATTCCTGTATTCAATAGTACCTGTTTCAGTATGTTTACCGTTGCCGAACCGCATTCGCCATGACAGACTGCAGCGAGTCATGCCATCGAGTCGACTTGGAAGCTAAGCCCTCAGTCGTATATTTTTGCAATTTAAAATGTATCATTCACATAAAAAAGTCCCGCATTGCCACACCCACTTAGCTACCTGGCCCGCCCCTTTTCGTGGACATGTTTAGCTAGCAAACGATGTGCTGACATAGATGGATATCGGGAATGGGAATTATTCTGCCATTCTGCCATTGTGCCACTGCTGCGGCTTCTGTTTCTGTTTTTTCACCGACTTTTTTGCAATTGTGTTGCATGCGTCCGTCAAACCCGCACAAATGTAAATAAGTGTCGGCCGTTCATCGGTATCCTTTGACTAATTACAGGGCCAAAAAAACGGAAACAGAAACGCAAAAACATGAAGCCACAGCCGTAATGTCCTGGAAGCCAAAGGACATGCAAATGTGTTGTTAGCGCGACAATCGGCAGCTATTACAATGCAATTTATACTTGGTGTGGATCTCGGGATGGGGGTTCCCAAAAAGCGGGGAGCTCTGGGGCTGCGAAAGGAGTAAATTTGTTAATGTGTCGTAAATGCTCACAAAGGGGAGAAGGGGGTTCATCTGGGGCGCCTGTTGACGGCCACCAAAGGGTTAAGCAACAGCAAAGTCAAACAAACAAAAGTTGCCAAGCAAAAAATAAAGAAAACGGTCGAAAAAATATGGAAAACATTAACAGTCTATGAGGTTTTTGGGAGTCGACTATGAGATACCTTATAAACGAATACAAATTTTCTCTTGTTGACTGTAAGAAGCATACTGAGAGAAAATTATTTAAATATATTTAGTTATTGGCTACGATATACATCAGAAAATAATTATGTGCAAGTAAAATTAAATTATTTCAAATAATCAAAAATTAGACATTATTGTTTGAAAACAAATCAAATTATATACTTATTTAGACCCTGATAAATTGAATTTATTGTATTTTATAACGATCTAGGCACCTTATTTAATTAATAAATTGGTTCTGAATGACTTCTCAACTTTTTTAAAATTAGTGATGCCTTAATTTAAGATATTTTGGCGTTACCCAAGTCCAGCATGCCCAATCTCCACAGAAATAAACCCGAAAAAATCAACAAACAAAAGAAGGGGATCCTAACTACCACCTAGCGACTAATGCGCATTTCGCATGTTGTCGGGGAGAGAGAAAAGGGAAGTCAAAAAACCAAAAACAAAATGCAAAAAGCCAAAGTTCTTTGCCCCACACTGTTATGTTTCATGTTCATGTTTCGTTTTTATTCGCATTTCAAAACCCCCCTTAACCCCGCCACAACATTCGCACGAGAATCGAAAATACCGTCGAGCAATAATTCCTTCAACTTTTGTTGAGTTGCGAATGAAAAGTCGTTTAACCCGGTATTTTGATGTGAGACTGTGTGTTCGTGTTTTGGGGGTATAATATTTATTATTTTTTCAATACAAAACAGCTGACGAAACGGTCTTCTTTTTTTTTCGCTGCTAATCGAAAATCGACGCAAATTATTTCGATGCCTTGTCAATCAAAATTTCTTGATGTAAATGAGGAACTAACAGAAAAGTTGTTGATATTTTCCAGTTAAGACGGAGGGGCGTTAATGGGGCGTGGCCGAGAGGTTATAGCCAACGTGAGTTGGGAAATGGGAGTTGTGAGTTTGGCTTTCCATGGGTGAAAGGCGCATTAAAGTTTTATTGATTGTGTTTTTCGTTCGAGGACTTTTTGTGGGCTTGATTGGTGGCCGATTGCCGGGGGCGGCATTATGGTTATGACCCGGACTGCCCCAGCCACTCCCCCTTCGGCCCCCGCTCCACGCCTCTCTTTCACCGCCGGCAAATTGAATTCCAACGAATGTTTAATGAAATAAAATGCATGTTGCGAGGCTGAAAAACGAAATGTGATCGATTATCGGGAAATTTCTTTCAATAACTGAACATGTCGATAAGTGTGCTTTTCAAATTGCTCGGAAATGTTTAGCTTAATTGGTTGTTCGAACTTTAAAGTGCATTTGCCAAAAAGTTCGTTGTTATTTGGGAAAATGCATAGATTTAATTTAAAAAGACATTAAATAAATAGTGTAAAAGAAAAGTTTTTATGAAAATATTGTTGGATTGCTGTTCTTTTTTTGGGGAATTAATATATCAATCATTTATTTTAAAGACCTCGAAGTCCGCTTGTGAATGATACAGAAATGCAATCATTAGGCTATACACAAAAATTAGTGATAATCCAGAGATATTACAATATAATAGAAATATGGTAAATCCCTCCTTTTATTACTACTGAATATCATTCATGGCTGCATCAATGAATGCAATGCTCTTCCCTTTTTTTTTTGATTTACCAACCCACTCACTTAGGCGTAAACCCCTTAATTTATGCATTTATGTGGCCGCCATGGCACTCACCTGCCCGATTTGGTAATGATCATTTCAGTGCCCAATTCATGGAACTTATCCCACAGCTCCTTGGTCTCCAGGTGGCACTGGACGGGCGTGAGATCGTCGCAGTTGCACGAGCCCACTATCTTGGGCGTGGGCTGCTGTGGGCGTGGCAATCGCATGCAAGAAAAAGGAGGAGAAAATTAAGGGGGGATTTTAGTAGGATGCTTGAGGAGATGCGTTGCCATTTCTGCACACTTTGTTGCTAGGATGTACACAGGCAAAAAAATTAGACATATGAAAAAGTCAGATATTTATATGATTATTAAAGAAATTAATTGGGGAATGTACTAACAAAGTTTGGAATGCTGAACTTTTTTATATAAAAGAAGAGGAAGACTATTATTTTTAGGAAGATATTTTACTTTTAAGAATTTTTCAATTCGTGTTTGTACCTACTAAATCATTTCACACTTTAATAGAAACATTCAAGATATTAAGACAGTAAAGGGAATTCCTTCACTTTTGATATAATACATTTTCAAAGTGTTTTGATGTTTCAATAATCGTATTTATGTGTTTCATTTTTTAATATCAGTTTCAGTTCAAAAATGAAATATGGGAATTCACATGTGTCTCACTGTGCATCTTTACCTGGGCTGGCGATTCCTCTGGCGACAGGCGTTCGAGTTCCTCGGGACTTTGCGAGGGCGGGGGCGGTGGCGGCGAGGGCGTGGCAGCGGCTCCAACTGCGGCAGCAGAACGCCCTCGATGGCTGCTTGATTTGCTGTGATTGCTGTTGCTGTTGGTGTTGCTGTTGCTGTTGCCTGAGTTGCTGATGTTGCTGTTGCTGTTGTTGTTGCTGTTGCTGCTGTGATGATTGTGATGTTGGCGTTGTTGCTTGTTTGCCGGTGCGTGGTGATGTGTCTGTTGCCTTTGTTGTTGTGATTGTTGTTGTTGCTGCTCCTGCTTTTGTTGCTGTTGCTGTGCAACACGCAATGCCTGTCGCGCCTGCTGCTGGGCCTGCAATGCTGCCGCTGCAGCCGCTGCTGTTGCAGTTGCTGCTGCAGTTGCCGACGGCATTTCCGAGTCACTGCAGTCGACCACATCAACGTCAACATCATCGTCCGCATCCTGGCCTGAAAAGCGCTCCACGGATGCGGGACCTACACGTCCAGAAAAAATAAATATGAAAAGGAAAAAGTAATTAATAACCAGATCTTAAAAAATTAACTCTTCAATAAACAGTTATCTGTAAATATGTAATGTTTTGATTTAACAGATAAATAAACCTCTACAATTATTATTCTATAATGATTTATTGTTTTAATAATTCTTAATTTAAAAGTAAGATTAAGTAATTAATGACTATAATACCTATTTTAACAGAGTCTATTTAATTATATATACAAGTTTTCTTCTAAGCTGTTTTAAACCTTAGTTTTTCAAGTGTAAATAGAAAACAGAGACATCAGAGTGGCTAGTTAATGTGGGAGTTGCTGCTGGGGCTGCAACATGTTGCATGTTGTCGATGACGAGCCGCAACAGCAATAGCAACGAGAATCCAGTTCGCGACCAGATGCATTTTACAGATTACGCCAAAAATTCAATTATTTGCTCAAAATGCAATTTCGTATGTTAATTTCGCCTGTATTTGTGTGTTGGCATTGCCAATGCCAATTGCCAAATGGGCGGGGGGAGGTCATAAAGAGGGGGTTTCACACTAATGAATGCATCTGTTTGCGCTTCTGTCTCTACCCAATTATGGCATCTAAATAGTTTTGTATTCAGGGTATATAAACGATTATATGTATCTGTACTGCGCTTGTCATGTGCATTTCCCCACCCCCCGCGCATTCAAATAGGCTTTGATTATTTTATTGCCGCGCATTTGCCGCAATTATCAAGTCATCAGCGTTGCATTGTCATCAATATATAATTTATATAGCAGAAAAAAGCGAATAAAAAATACGGAAAATATAGGAATATAATGCAGCTGCGACACATTTTCAAAGGGTGAGTAAAAAAGTCAATCGATAAAATGAGTTTTTAGGAGAAGCACTATGTAAACCTTAATTTAAAAAATTGGATTTATGAAATGAAGTGTACTTAAAATATTAAAGCCCCTTATATTTGTTTTAAATTAAATTATTTCAAGGCGAAGAAACAAAAATCTATATCTTTTTATTCCTTGCAAACAACCTAATTTTTGTTCAGTACTTGAACATTTTTGCTCTTGGATACATATTTTTGTTTTTATTGGGGCAAGATCTATTTAAATTTCCATTGTATACTCTCGTATTTACTTTTTCATTTTCTCCTATGAATTCAGATCAGTCTGAAATTGTCTTTATAAATAAAACATTGACTTTGCTATTGGTGCTTTTTAATCTTTTATTATACTCAACCATTTAGCAGCCTTTCATATTGTAAGACTGTTGGAACTTAAAGCCTTATAAACAATATGCCAGTCGTACCATATCATATCGTAAAAAATTATAGCTAAATCACCCGGCAAACCAGTAACTTGGGATAACCATCAACATGTGTGATGTGCTAAATTTATATTCTTTTCAACCTTTGCTCCAACCAATTTATTATACTCAATCAAAAGAATATTGAGTATGATAATAGAGTGAAACTTGTTTGGAGTAAAGAACTAAACTTGATTCCGGAGATCAAAACGAAAATGAGATTCATGAATGAATCCTACCGTGACGCTTATTTACAAAAAGAAATAATAATTTACTTTAAAATACTAGCGAAGAGAAATAGTTATTATTTTGATTGATGGGCTGAGTGGAGAAATAGTTAGGGCAACTGAAATCTGATTATAACTAACTAAATAAGGAAAAGTGGAATTATAGTTGAGTAAGGGTTTTTTTTAAACCATACATAGCGTTTTATAAGCCTTGGAATATAAAAGACTCTAAGTGTATATGAAGTTACCCTTAATGTAACCTAAAACAAGTAAATGGATATGTAAAATTCAGAAACATATAAATATAAATAGTTTTTTATCACATTTATAAGGGTTTGTCTATGTTCCCTAATCGAATGCAAAAGCGGGCGGTTATTTTACCCAAAACCAGCCAGAAATGAAGCGATAAAATGGACTGCCCGTCTATAAAAGCCGACTATGTTTAGTTTAGGATGTGGGGTTGACTTTGGGCTGGGATCGGAATTGAACTTTACTCACTCAGACTGCGTTCCGAAGGTTCCCGGCTGCTCGGGGCGTTTCCGCCGCGCGCCATAATCGCCGCAATTGAGAAATCCGTGGCGAAGGAAATGTTGTGCTGATTGTGGTTATGATTATGATGGTTGTTCAGCGGACTGTGGTGGTGGTGATGATGATGATGATGCTGGTGATGATGACTGCTGCCGTTGGCGATATTCGCCGCTGCCACCGCCGCTGCCGAAACGATTTGTTGCTGCAACTTCGACTTGAAGTTCTGCGTCGGCGAAGGCGTTTGCTGCGGTTTCGTATTCGCCGGCTGGTTGCTCAAAAGCATTTTCGGGCTGAGATTTCCAGTACTTCTCCTTCTCCTTCGAAATTAATTTCCGAATATTTTACCCCAGGTCTTAAGTTGCTTTTACTGGAGCTCTTAGGGATTTACCTTTTCAATCGATTGCTAAATTTGCTTGTTTTGGTTTTCCGGGATTTAAGTTTTCTTATGAACTATTCGCTTTTATATTTTCCTAATATATACTCCATATGCTTTTGGGAATTTATTTATTATTCGTAACTAAAGCTTTTTGTTTTATTGCAAACATTGTTGAAATAAGCGAAATTATTTATAGATATTTATCGGTGTTTTCGCATTTCCTAATAATTTTCTCCATATTTGTGAGATTGTATTTGCCGGTCTTTTGCTCAAGATCATTTTATCATATTTATCACTTTTCTTAGAATGTTTTAATGTGGTATTTTTTGAGTTCCAGCACTTCAAGCAGCTATTTTAAAAGGCTAGCTGTTGATATTTATTTTAAATGTTTTATACTTTTTCATAAATAAATATTATTATAAAATGTGTGTAAAATATTTTGCAATGTTTCAAAGTTTTTTTACAACGTTTTTAGAAACACTTTGCGACTTAACGAGTTTACGCCCGTATTTACTCCGGTCTCCGGTTCTCCGTATTTTCCGTGATTTTCGTATTTTGCGTATTTTCGAGGTGGAAACGGGAAATTCCGGAGCGCCGTCGCTGCTTCACAGTCACGCAGCTGACCATTGAATGAATCCCAATTCGCTTTTCGCCATGTAAACGCCAAAAGCGCCAAAGCCAAAAACCAAAAACAACAGCAACAAAAAAAGTACAAAAACGCAACGCAAAAATCAACAACAAATACCACGACGTCGGCAGCGACGTCGACTGCGACGCCGACTGACCCCCAAAACAGAAACAACAACAGCTGATGTTTCTTACGGCGAAAGGTTTTCAACACCACGTAACGAAACGTAACGATTAACGTAACTCACTCGTACTTCCACTTCCAGAGAACTAAACCCAAAACTTTCCTTACGTCACGTAAGGAAACCACAATTTTAACCGCAAAAGGAATGGAAAAAATAATGTTTTTCAATTAGGCAAGTGCAAGCAGGATGGCAGTACGAGCAGCGCATTCCCATGCTGCCGGCAGCGACGCCAGCGTCGAGGCATAACTCATTTCCATTTTCCAATTCGAACACAAATTCCCATGCACTCAAAACAATACCAATTCATAAGCTGGGTATGCGTAAGAGCGAGACGACCGGATGTATTTCCTATTGAGTGGAGAGCGTTTTTTGCTGCCATCTCTTTCGCACCGCTGGGGAGGGAGGGAGAGAGTAAGAGAGCCAAGGGAAGTTCATAAATTCGTCATTTTGTTTTTGGCTGTTGACAGTTCTTCGTCCGATTTGTTGTTGTTGCCATGGTGAGTGCGAATGTGTGTGAGTGGTTTTTGTTGTATGAGGGAGGGGGTGTGTTCACCGCTTTTCGTCGACTACTTACGATTCTTCTCAACTCAGTCCGATTCCACTGCGTTCCGCTGACGTTACTCACCACTTTGAGTTGAGTGGAAATGCGATTGAGTGAGATATTTGCGACCAGAAAGTTTTTAGTGAGGTGGAAAAAGTAATTTGAATTCATATTGAAAATATTATTTTCCATCTCAAATAATATTACATTTTAAATTTTTTGTTAAAAAACTATACATGTTTATGCTGTCAAATGGAGTTGACAAATTTATGGCCTTCTAAAAAATCTTGCCAATGAAAATAACCATGACAGATAAATGGAAAGGGTTCCCGCATTTACCAACATTTTTTTTTTCAAAATTACACATTTCTAACATTTTGTAAAGGGTTTTTTATAGTTTAGTAAAAAGACATTTATTTAGGGGAAAAAAGGACAAAACATGTACATAAACTTTATAGTATAAATTAATAGAAAAAACATCCATATTTTATCAATATTTTTAATTTTGGACTGTTATTTCCTTTAAAAATACCTTTTTTGAGCGTCACCCTATAATTTTCCGCACCATCGAGGGAAAATCGACCCTTTCGGTTGGGACACAACAGCATTTCCCTCATCCTGCGACAGGACTTATCTGAGAAAGTGTCTCGTGTGCTCGGTCCTCCAATTGAAAAATCATAATTGAATATCTGGGTTCCTGTCACTCCTCCTTCTTTTCCGCCCACCAGCGTATGTAAATGTTTTTAATTTAAATGTTTGCTCAAAAGAACCAACAAAAGATGGTTGGAAAAAAAATGCGACGATGGCGTGTGAACGCAGCAGAAAATTATAGACCCGGGGAAAAAGAGGGAACTGGTGAGGGGCAGTGGGGAGGGGGAGGGTTCCGGGTGGTGCCACCATCTTGTTTCCCTCCGTCAGACTTTTTTCACAATTCGTCAGCTGCGCCCTTCGTCCTCCCAGAATGATGTCCTTTTTTCCCAGCACTGAGGGAAAATTATCACACCATGCAAACCATAAATATTCATTAGAATACCCTTAATTTTGTTGTGTAAGCATAATTAAAATAATAATTTCTCTAAATCTTAATAAAGGCTTTTTGTATATTTCCCTATTACATTTTCTTATACCTTTATCTTATCTTTACTGTATTCATCGATTTTAAAAAGTTCATATTTATAGACACTTTAAAAATGTACTAAACTGGTTAATTAAAATTTGGAAAAGTCATTTTAATAAAATCATCACAATTTGGTTTATCTTGGCTTGAAATATTAAGATATTGGTTCTAATTTAATATAAATCTAACGATTTGGAAAGAAATTAAAATAATTAAGTTTCATAAAAAAACAGTTAGGGTTGAAGCCAACAATTTTGTAGTAATAAGTATTTATTTAAGTGTTTTCATTATATTTCATTCACAACCATTTATTTCTTTGACTGTAACCGTTGTTTTTGTGGCTGCGGTTTCATTTGCATGCGATTCGTGGTTGCCAGCCGATGTGGCGCACAATTGAGCCACTAATGGTGATGTTGATGGTGGCCAGATCGGTGGAGGGAGTATCTAGTATCTGGAGTATCTGGTGGAAAGGAGCGGGACTCAGGGATTCAGACAGGGTGGGCCCTCGGCTCGCTTTGTTTGCTTTGTCGCGGCTCGGTGACAATTTTTCAATGATTTGTTTCCTGCCCTGAAATCTCATTTGCATATGCCACCATATTTTTTCAACTTTCCAGGTTTTTTTGTGTGGTTTTCCCCCGGTTTCTATTCCCGCTTTCGCTCCTGCTCCTTTTTTTATATATTTTCAGGGGGAGTGAAAAATTGCAATCGCTTTGTTTTTGTTTTCGTTGTGGGTTGGTTTCAGGCAATTTGAATTTGATTTAATGAAATTAAGAGGGCGTGTTCTTCTAATAGTCGTTTCTTTAAATAGTTTTTCATGCGTTTTCCTGGAAATTGGTGAGTTAATGAAGTTGGAAAAGTGTGTAAATTAATTGAGAAATAAAGAAATCTTTTGAAGGTGGCGGCGATGTTTTTTGAGTATTCGGGGCCCTCTTCATTATTAAACATTTTAACAAAAATTTTTTTTTTTAATTCATGACTTCTATATTATATATATAACATTTATAATAAAAATTTATCGGAAATTCGACCTAGCTTTACTGTTCTTAAGCATCGAAATCGAGATATAGAATATTTACAAACCCTTACAATTGGACTTCTCGAGACCAATACTTTGTCAAATTTCATCCTAGTTCAAAGTTACATACCTCTTAAGAATTATGTTTTGATTCTCACAAAAACTGCATTCAAATTTTTTCATTTTAACGTTGATCAAATTTTTGACCCATTTTCATGTCAGTTATTTCTAGTTTTGGTGACTTGTACAAAAGGTGACTCACAATTGGACTTCCAGAGTCCATAACTTTGTCAAATTTAATCCGATTTCTAAGTGGCATACCTCTAAACCTTCGTGTTTCGATTCTCAAAAAATCTGCATTCAAAATTTTCATTTTAAAGATGATCAAAATTTTGACCCATTTTCATGTCCGTTATTTCTAAGTTTCCGATGTCTTGTAAAAATGATCCCATAACTTTTCCAAATTTAAACCGATTTCAAAGTGGCATACCTCTAAAGACTTGTGATTCGATTCTCAAAAAATCTGCATTCGAATATTTCATTTAAACGTTGATAAAATTTTTGACCCAATTTCATGTCAGTTATTTCTAAGTTTCCGAGATTTGTTGGACTTCCAGAGTCCATAACATGGCTGATTTCCAAGTGATATACCTCTAAAGACTTGTGTTTTGATTTGTTATTTTAACATTGAGTGAACCTACAAGCAAGTCCTAGGTATTTGCATAATTTCGCTGCATGTCGCACGGGCAACGAAAAATCAAAACAAAGCACTTCAGAGTTATTTATGAAAAACATTGCCAAAATCTATGACTAATACCGGGCAAAGAAATAAGAAACGCGCGCAATTTAGGAAAATGTTGGGATAGAGCGGAAAAGCCAATCAACTACATATCTCCAGCAGCCATTGCGATTCTCATTGAACGGAACAGATTTGCCTCAACCTATTCCTATTTTGTTTACGCTTTGACGGGATTACGGCAAAGTCGCTTACGGAAAGCCGCAGAATGGAGCCCCGACCCAATGGCCATTAGTTTTTATTTGGGAAATTTCACTATTTTCCTTGCGTTTGCTCCTTTTGCCTACGTGCACTAAATGGCCAATAAGCGGGCGGCGGTGGGAAAAAGCGGGAACTAAGCCGTCAGGACATGGCCATCTAAATGCACATGGCGGCCATATTGTGCCAAAGGATATATCAATTTTATTGCCACTCGCAATCGAAACAACATGTGTGTTCGGATCTTTTTTTCTCCTCCCGTTATTGTTGCATACAAATTGCGTAGCGAATTGTTTTGTTTTTTTTTTTTTTTTCAGGCTGCCATCCTGCAGGCCTTAATCCTTTGCGCCAAGGCAAACAGAAAAATAATAATTGCGAACAATTGTGCTTTATGGCCGTTATGGCATCCTTGAGCAGATCTGCAGAATAAAGTAGGCGAAGTGCGAGCGGAGCGTGTCACCCGAAGGCAGGTGCGACTTCAACTGCGAGTGCGACCCAAAAGCCAAGGACACCGGCAATTATCCTTGGGCGAGGGAGTCGCAGACGAGCGGAGCGAATCAATTACGCCGCCAGCAACGAGATCTCTGCCTAATTTGATTTCATTACCGCGCCCACAACTGCGAAAAATCGTGCACTTTGAAAAACAATTCTCGAGACTTGTTGAAGAACTAGATCACTAATTATTATACATAATACACAACTATTTACAAAATAATGCAAAAATCGAACCTTTCTGTTTTATTGCTTTCTAAAATGTAAGACTAATTCAAATCAAATATCCACTTTTATAATAAATCCTAAGGAACAGCTTTTGAAAAAATGTCCTTCGAAAATGTAATATTGTAGTAAGTTAATATATACAATTTAATATGATTATATGTCACTTTAAGAAATATGTATGATATTTTTAAGTGTTTGTTACTTAATGACGAAATCATTAGTTGCTTTTGGGATGCGCTTTTATGAAACTCAGTTTCGTCATCCATATTTCCCTCAGTGTAGACAAAGCAAATCCTTTTGGCCATGTCCAGGGCGGAGCTGTGCCGAGCTTAATGCGAAAATTAATCGAATCGGGATCGAAGCGGGCTCGCAGCTCCGGCAACGCCTACCAGCTGCAGCAACCAGCCACCA